TACATAATATGTAATTTGTCCAGGATATCAAATTACGTCTACTAAATTGTGATATTAGAATTGGTAATTGCCTGGATATATTACAGAATTTATAAATTACGTAATAATATTATTTACAACATGGAAGTTTAATTTGATTTAAATGCAATACTTAATGCGTTGACTTTAATAGGCTGTAACGGTAATGTTCGCCACACACGGTCAGTTCAACTGATGAGGTCAAACTAAAACTGTTGATATTTTTAAAATATTGGATTTTCGATATATCGATAAATAAACTTATATATAATACTCCGATATTGATATATTTATAATTATCGATATATTGAAAATTCAATATTTAAAAAATATCAACAGTTAGTTTGAACTGAACTGACCGTGTGTGGCGTCCATAACGGTAACGGCAAACACGTAATAAGTTTTTTATAAGGTTTGTGGTTAATAAAAAATAATTAATAATTAAAGTGTATGTGTTGAACCGTACTTGGGGGGTCAGAAAAACAAATAACAATAATAATAATAATCTTTATTGACATAAAAGTAAAACGGAAACGCGTGTCCGTCTAACCACCCCGTCTGGTGTGGAATGTGCGGATAGGATTCTTTAGGGTGGATAAACGGAATAACCCCAACCCAACTTCTACCTGACAAATGAGGCCTGACAGTCCATTGATGACCCAACTAATGCAGAACCTATGCACAAATGCAGAACTCAAACACCACAGAGTAGTAATAATAATAATAATGTCCTCCAGACCGAATTTTGCCTCAACGGAGGCTAGCCATCGGTGCAGGACAGGATTATAGTGCCCAAGTGTATGCGCAAGCACAGGTGCACTCTATTCCCTCACTCTCATAATCCGATGGGACGGTAAACCGACACGACCGGAGAGAGATCAGGCGCGACCAACGGCTTTACGTGCTTTCCGAGGCACGGGGGTGAGACACCGCCAACTTCCTGACTCCGGGCAGCTACTGAGAATTTCCTGACAGAAAAACTCAATAATTGATTATTGTTGGCCCGACACGGGATTCGAACCCAGGACCTCGTGATCAGCAGTCGCACTACTACAACCACTAGACCAACGAGGCAGTCATAATATATAAATAGTAATAGGGATGAACATTATCAGGTTCACCAAATCGCCAGCCGAACGTGAGTATGAGTAACTCTATAAAGAAAGAAATTTGCTTTAACTGGCGCGCCCTGAGAAAGGCCTAGGTCTAAAAGTTAAGGACACTGTAGAAGAGTACAAGTAAGAGGCTTAAAGGATAGTAGAGGGACGTATATAGTCTGCTTTAATTTACTCAATAGGGTCGAAATCACGTCTTGAATTATCTATTTCATTTAGTAATATTAACTTGTGCAATAATTAAGTAAAGCAAATACAGATTGCACGAAACAAGAAACTTCAAACACTTTCTGCGATGCAAATATTATATTATTCAATCAAGTAGAAATGCAACTACGCCACTAAATATTATTCCGTCTTTTCGAAAGTTTTCGTAAGTAGAATGAGTTGTAACTATATAGAGTATACTCTTTATTTTATACATAATAAATTTATATTAATGATTTAAATCTCGTTTCAGATTTTACATAATATTGCTTTAAAATGGTTTTAACTTTTTTAACTATAGAAAAATATAAAATTACATAATATTTTATAATTTGTAAGACTAAATAAGTTACACATAAGTTACTTCACCCTGAACGCCGCTTCGTGCTAAACGATTCCAAGGGATTTCTGCCTAGCATTTGGTAATAAATTGGAATCTCGTATAAGGCACGGCGATCAACGATCATTGATTTTTAAGACTTTTTAAAAGATAATGAATTTGGAAATATTTTGCATTCTTGGTCTTACATGGGTTGACGGATTTCATTTAGAAAAAACAAACTAGTTAAAATTAAAATACATAAAAGTTTCTCATATCTTTTTAGACACACAGATTCTCTTGTGATGTTTCCAGTTAAGAATGAAATAAAATGGTCAACCTCGAAACTAACTTTCATAATATATTATATATATATATTTTATATAAACCAGTGATCCCCAAACTGGTCTATATCGACTCCTAGGGGTCTATGACAACCTGCAAGGGGTCTACGTCAGCGAAAAAAAATTTGGGGGTCCATGAAATTAAATGGGGGTCCACGATAGTGGATCTCAACACATACACTGATAGTACCTATTTACTTACATCATACTATCCTATAATATTCAAACATATACATTATTTATAAAAATACCTATGAAGTAAAAAAAATTATTATATATGTTTATAAAATAGTGTAAGTTGTAGGATGGTGGTATTCGCTGTGTGGTCGCAATACATTTTGAACTTGTAAAAACCTGACAGTCGCAGTCTCAGAGCTTCGCTACCTTGCACTGACTTGATCAATTCGTCACTCTATAAATACGAATGTGGGACAAATACGTTTATTCGTTTCCTGAATCTTGAAAAGGAAAATGCTAAAAAATATTTTAAATAATATAAACAGATAGTCACATAAACAGATATCACACAAATTACAGTGAGTCAGTGTTATTTTGTTTGAGAGTGCTGGAAAAAAGTAAGTGCATTATTTTATTATTATTATATATATTAAATATATATATATATATATATATATATATATATATATATATATTAAATATATATATTAAATTTTAGTTTTGTACTCGTAGTTAGCAAAGATAGATAAATTACGCCAATCATGACTTTAGTTATTAGTAATTTAATAGTCAATCATGCAAAATTACACGAGTACTCCTCAATAGTTTCTTTTTGAAAGTTTTAGCAATCGGTATTATAATTACAGTGCAATCTCCGTAATTCGAGCTAATTGTTGCAAGAAGATGTTCTAATTATGGAATGTTTTCGGAAAATTCAAAAAATATTTTTAATATACAGCTGCTGGATTTTCTGTCTTATTTAAATAATTTAATTTTGCCCACAGATGACTGATGCCATGTCCGAATCTAAAAACAAATGTAGACAGTACAGTGTCGATTATTTGAAATTTGGCTTCATTCCATCATTGCCGGACAAACAATTGCCTATGTGCCTTTTATGCAACAAAGTTTTGGGCAATGACGCTATGAAACCATATAAACTGCAAGATCATCTGAGAAGATGCCACCCTGATAAAACAGAGAAAGATTTGAAATACTTTCAAACACTCAAAGATAAACTTCAGAAGAGACCTACACTGGACAGAATATTCGCTTCGACGTCACAAAGAAATTATGATGGTTTGCGGGCGTCTTACAATATCCCGTTATTTATAGCAATATCCGGAAAACCGCATACTATCGGAGAGAAGTTAATTTTGCCAGCCGTTGAAGAGGTTTTAAAAACTGTTTTACACAAACCTGCATCTGATATCATTAAAAGAATTCCCTTAAACAACAATACTGTTGAAAGACGTATTGATGAAATGAGTTCTAATATTGAAAGCTTCTTATGTAATTATTTGCAAACGACCCATTTCTCTATACAACTGGACGAGTCAACTTTACCTGATAATGCAGCATTATTATTGGCATATGTTCGTTTTATTATGAATCAAGAAATCTACGAACAACTGCTCTTCGCAAGAACTTTGATAAACGACACTAAAGGTGAATCAATATTTCATGTTTTGAAGGATTACTTCATTGAAAAAGCAATTCTTTTATCAAATATAATATCAGTAGCTACAGATGGAGCACCTGCCTGGTTGGACGTTATCGTGGATTTATAAGCTATTTAAAACAAAATGTGTCAGGGGTGTTAGCAATACATTGCTTCATCCATCGACAACATTTAGTTGCTAACAATTTGAGTGTTAGATTGCATGAAATCACTTCATTTAGTCATTGATGCAGTAAACCGAATCCGAAGCTACGCGTTGAATACGCGGTTATTTGCGCAGTTGTGTGAATGAAATGACGAACACTCATCAATTACTCCTTCACACTGAAGTACGCTGGCTGTCGAAAGGCTTATGTTTGATAAGATTTTTTGCACTTTTTGAGACTATTTTAGAATTTCTGGAAACTAAAGATAAAATTTCAAAAGAAAATTTAATGAAGAGGAAAGCAGACATCGCCTATTTAACAGATTTGTTTACAAAATTTAATATGGTTAATTTGCAATTACAAAGCGACGGTTTAAATTTGATTAAAACAAAATCCATCTTATCAGCGTTTCTAGCCAAAGTTAAACTAATGAAGAAAAATATTGGACGGGGCGAATTTTCTCAGTTCCCCAATTTGTCACAGACAAGCTGCCAGGAAGACGACGTTTCAACTTACGTTCAACATTTAAATGCCCTCTATTCAGATTTTGAATCTAGGTTTGAGGATATTTTGACTATGGTAATACCACCGTGGATAATTAATCCATATGGTGACATAGAAGAAACGAATGTCATAATACAAGAGGAACTGACTGAACTAAGTACAAACGAAGAACTTAAGGTTCACTTTAAAAACTTGGAGGAAATTTTTAATATCCTTTCCATCGTCATACCTAGTGGAAAGGGGGTTCAGCGCTGTTACCAATCTCCTAACGAAAAAAAGAAACAGACTGGACATCATTAACCGAGGAGATTTAAGATTAACCCTTACAAATTTGACGCCAAATGTTGATAATTTATTATTAAATTTAATATTAAAATTTATTATTAAAATTATTAAAGCATCAGGTTCATCCTTCTCACTAAAAATATTGACTTATTGCTTATGTTATTTTATTTATAGTTTATTTTATGTTTATTTAATGCTACGTATATTTTACATAACAGATACAAAATTTTATTTTGAGTAGTTTTAATTTAAATTAAATTAATAAATGTATAAATTAACATGTGTTCACTACAGTTAGGAAATCAATATCAGGTAAGTAGGGGGGTCTACCCAACACGGAAAAACATGGCAAGGGGTCTACTACATAAAAAAGTTTGGGGAACTCTGATATAAACGAATTAAATGTAGTACAATAAACTATACCTTTCTTTTGTTCTAAGTTGAGCGGTGGCGGCGTGACGGGAGACTGAGTGCGGGCTTGCAGAGTCGCCAAAAGTTTCCGTTTATGATTGCACAACTTGGTCAGCTCCGGCCCCGAAGCCACCTGATACTGCTTGCTCAACACCTGTCGACAAACACACATTAACATTGCCAATTACTTAGTAGACGTTACCTTCATTAAACAGTTACGAACAGGATAATTACAAAAATAATTTAAAACAAAATAAAGAAATGTATTTGTAAAACTTGCCAAGTACTGCTACTATTTGTTAATGCGTAATATTATTGTCATAATATGGCGGTGTTTATTAGTGGCATAAAAAACTTCTTTCCTCGAGATTTTGTATCCGCCGCTAGATGAACGTAGAATAATCTTAATTTAAAGGAGACAGTGTCACTGCTGAAAACTGAGTGTGGCAGCATCGTTTCCGGGACACCTGAGATTTTGAGTGAGATTGAGAGGTTCTATGGGCAATTGTACACATCATCGCTGGAGCCACACGCAAGTGTGAGTAACGATCCAAGAGCAAGTCTTATCAGACACTATTCCGATGATATCCCGGACGTCAGTCTGAGCGAGATTAGAATGGCTCTCCAGCACCTTAAAAACGGTAGGGCCCCAGGCGAGGATGTAATTACAGCGGAGCTTCTGAAAGCGGGTGGAACACCGGTACTTGAAGTCCTTCAGAAGCTATTCAATTCCGTCCTCCGTGGTGGCACTACTCCGGAGGCGTGTAGCAGAAGTGCGGTGGCCTTATTCTTTAAGAAAGGCGACAACGCTCTCTTGAAGAAATACAGACCGATTTCCCTTCTGAGCCGCGTCTACGTGCTGTTTTCGAGAGTCATTACGAATCGTCTCGCACGCAGATCGACGACTTCCAGCCTCCCGAACAAGCCGGTTTCCGAAAAGGCTTCAGTACCATAGACCACATATATACCCTGCGGCAGATTGTACAAAAGAACGAAGAGTACAATTTTTGCCTGGCATATGTGGACTATGAGAAAGCCTTTGGTCCCGTTGAAATTTGGGCGGTTCTACAGTCCCTTCAGCAGTGCCAAGTTGACTGTCGGTATATTGAAGTGCTGAAGTGTTTGTACAGTAGGGCTACGATGGCTAACTAAGTACAGAAACAGAGTTCGAAACCTATCTAACTTCAGAGAGGTGTAAGACAGGGTGATGTTATATGCCCGAAACTCTTCACCGCTGCGTTGGAAGACGTTTTCAAGCTACTGGACTGGAAAGGATACGGTATTAACATCAATGGCGAGTACATCACTCACCTTCGATTTGCCGACGATATAGTCCTTATGGCAGAATCGCTGGAGGACCTTAGCACTATGCTCAATGACCTCAATGGTGTCTCCCAACGGATTGGTCTTAAGATGAACATGGACAAAACAAAGATCATGTTTAATGTCCATGTCACACCTATGCCGGTAGTTGTTGGGAGCACTATGCTCGAAGTTGTTGACGAGTACGTTTACCTGGGACAAATAGTCCGACTAGGTAAGTCCAACTTCGACCGAGAGGTCAATCGACGGATTCAACTCGGCTGGGCAGCGTTCGAATTACCAGTATACCTCAATCTCTGAAAACTAAAGTATACAACCAGTGCGTGTTGCCAGTGATGACTTACGGATCTGAGACGTGGTCCTTCACTGCTGGCCGTATGAGGACGCTCAAGGTCGCTCAGCGAGCTATGGAGAGAGCTATGTTCGGAGTTTCTCTGCGTGATAGACTCAGAAATGAGGATATCCGCAGTAAAACCAGAGTGACCGACATAGCCCAACGGATTAGTAAGCTGAAGTGACAATGGGCCGGCCATATAGCTCGAAGAACCGATAACCGATGGGGAAGAAAGGTTCTCGAGTGGCAACCTCGTACCGATAGGAGTAGTGTAGGGCGACCCCCCACTAGACGGAGTGACGACCTGGTAAGACATGCAGGAAGTCATGGATGCAGATGGCTCAGGACCGTGCTTTGTGGCATTACTTGGGGGAGGCCTATGTTCAGCAGTGGACTTGTGAAGGGTACAGTTCTTGATGATGATGACGATGAATGATATTTCTATATAAATGCTCAGATATCTATGGTATTCTTAATTTATATAGTTATAATCAAACCTGGCGACAAAACGACGTAAGTATGTAAAAAATATTTTCTTTTAAAACGTACCAGGGCTGAGAGCGACACAAAATTATTAATATAATAAAAACTTTATTACAAAATGTACCCACAAAATGGGATTTAAAATTTTTTATATTATTAATATCGTTACAAATTACCGATGCGCGTGTACTACAACCGGTTATATTTTGGGTCATATTTATAACTTTTAAATAGGAAGTTATTTTTTATGCAGCAGGCAGTGTGTTTTTTATATTATTTCCATAAGCAAACCTGACGAAAGCAAATTTATGTGTAATGAAAAATTAAACATGTATCTAATGAAGAATTAATGGTGTTTTTAACTAAAAATGTAGACAGTATTACATTAAAAATAACAAGTGTAAAAATAAGTATGTAAACGTTTGCGTTGACCATGACTGCTGTACAAAGTAGATATTTGATACAAGATCCCATTGGAGCAATTTAACATTGCTAAACGCAACGCTTTTAATTAAGCAAACGTTAAAACTATATTACATCTTTCGTTACGATGTTGGCAGTCAGTTAAACGCAAAATAACATAAACACCTTTAATTAACTGTGTTAATTGTACCTCTGTTTTTGAAATAAAATATCAAAAGTTGGGTACATTAAAATACTAGTTTGCGGGTACGAGTTTTATAGTTTTAATGCATACAGTTGTTAGAAAACTAACTCGTCGACAAGCTTCAAAGATGCGTTTATCTTCTGTTAAGAATAATAAAAAATATTTTGACACGTTAAAAAAATCACAATAAGTTTGAAGACATTACGCTGGTTAGCGTTGTGCATTCAATTACTTCTGGGGAGAATAGAATGCTGCTTGTTATGCCATTTGGGATATATCAATTTTATTTTTGCATATAAACTTGCTACCACCGCCCCACATAAATTACAAAATTGTTTCATTGTTCTATGTATCAATCCTTAATACTGTCACTGTTTAAGACTTTTCTTTTTTAGATTTTGTTCTACAATCTTGTTGATTGTTAAGTGTCACAACAATTTTCACATAAATTTTTAAGTTAATAATCATCATTACAGCCCTTCAAGTCCACTGCTGAACATAGGCCTCCCCCAAGGAATGCCACAAAACACGGTCCTGAGCCACCTGCATTCATCTATTTCCTGCGTGTCTTACCAGGTCGTCACTCCATCTAGTGTTAATAATAATATACTTTAATTAAAATATAATTCCACGTTTAATATAAGATTTTGTTATGGTGGCAGACTTTACATGCCGTCAAAATAATTTCTCAAAAGTGCAGAATTGCTCACGATATTGTCTTGTCTGTCAACACCGATTACGTGGCTAATCAATATTTCAAATTCATCAGAGCCGTGCTGCAGTTATATTACTAGTAACGTTGTAGCACGAATGGGTCGGATGGATCGGGGAAGGACCACGCTCTTACAGAATACCAGCATAAAATAGCAGCTTAACGCTGCTGTGTTTCGTATGGTGAGTAGAGTAGAGAACCGGAGACCCTTTTTACTGGAAACGAGGCATTCCATCTTAGTCCTCAAGGGTGACAACGCATCTGCATTTTGATTCGTAATAGAGGATAGATGTAGATTTTTATGGGCCACAGCATCTACTTACCATCGGGAGGACTGTGTGCTCGTTTGTCACCCTATCCTATAAAAAAATATCATCATAAGCCTTCCTCAAAGAATTTTCGATTGCGCATATTTCAAATTGCGATGAACAACTTCAATATTTCCTGAGGGGATCGAGACGAACAGGTTGCTTGCTTTTCTATAATATTAGTATAACAAACAACAGTAAGGGCTTACTGCAGTCCTTGGATAATAGCAATCAAGGTTAGCATAGGCACAGTCTAAATACAACTAACAGTCGGTCATCGAAGGTGTCTAGACAGCGCAATCGTGCGGTGCGTTCGGGAGCTGTCCGGTAGGGCTGTCTTGTCACGTTGCAAATAAATAATATAAATAACATGCTTCTCACTACGTGTGAGGAATTTGAAATGTAGTGGTTCAAAAAATTGAAAATATCTATCAGTTGCACATTTGTAAACTATATATTTTGATGTAATCTCCATAACCCTATTGAGATTACATCTAAACACAATTTGAGTTAGGTTAAAACACTGACTTCTATAAATATAAGTACGCTGGACTGGCTATATCATAGAACACTATAATACATACAGTATTCTATGGGCTATACCCTATAAAATATTTGCATGGTTTCGAAGCGCCGCCATTGTTGGTACCGGGAACTAAAATTGACATAATAAGTCTGTTGTGTTGTTAAAATCGTATCAAAGATCGTATCTAAATATCTATCGTATTAAAGATAACGATAAAGATATTTATTTTGTAAAACATGAGTAAAAAATACAGGTATTAAAAAAAACTTAAAACGAGCTACATGTTTTGCCATTTATGGCGTACAAAAATTATAATACGTATATTAATTATTCTACAAGACAAATTAACTAACCCTACGTTCATAATTTTAGATGTGCAACAATTTCAATGGCATCTCGTAAAATCGCATTGCAGAAATGTCGCAATTAATTATTTAGCTTAAAAAAGACACTTAAGAAATCAGGCAAGCTGTAATAACATTTGGCTATCAGATATTTTTTAAGATGTAGCTTAAAAAGTCTGGTAGGCAATTGTTTGATGTGTTGGCGCCAGACAGAAAATACTTTTATGCATCAATACCGTTCTTGAACCAACTGCGCATAACCTACTATTATCCCTGCGATTGCAAATTGTATTGCAAATTGTAATAACGTCCGATAGTTTGTTAAACAATTTAGGGTTACTTTGAACGAAGTTTGCTACTTCATATATAAATAAGGAGGGTAAGCTCAAAATGTTGTGCTCAATGAAATATGGTTTGCAGCTATCAGTAATTTTAAGACCGAACATAGCTCTGATGCACATTTTTGGGACTTAAATATAATTTCCTTATTAGTAGAATTTCCGCAGAATATGATGCC